AAGAGAAGAGGCAAGGATGATTCCAAAGTTTCTAGCCAGATCAACTAATGGAAAGATGGAATTGCTAGTAAATGACAAGGTGAGATAGATGGTGTTTGTGTGTGTATGTGTGGGGTGATAATGAACTTTTATAAGGGAAAATAAGGGAATTTAAGTCCCAGGGAACTTTTAGCTGGCTTTTACTCTATCACACATGATGGTGGTTACAGTATTCTCACAGGTGCTTGGATAATTGAGGAATAAACTTAGGAAGTCAAAGGTCTGTTGGGTATGATTGGACAGGTAGCTCTGGAAAGGCATATTTGAGGTCCCCTTCTTCTGGACTATTGCATATGCTGGGTCACTCTCTCTGCATGACTATACTAGTACTCTTGTCTAGAACACTCTCTCCCTTCTATCCACCAATACTCTGTCCTTTAAGGCTCAATTCTGGATCACTGCCCCATCTCCTTAAGAAAGTCTTCCTTAATCACCATACTCTTTAATTCATCTTTTTTGCCTCTAATGTCATAGCTAATGATTTGAATCATTCTAGTACTTACATATAGGAAAAGAAATAGGAACCTGAACCATGAAAAGGAGTAGTTTTCCCAGAGTCACACTGAGAGGCATTCAGAACTGATAGAGTAAGAAGCTAATAGGTTACCATAGGAGACTGCACAACACCTCCATCTTATTTTCTACAAAAATTATTGGCTGGCTGTTGGGCTGAAAACTCTGTTGGGTCGATACTGACTCTCAGGAGGAAGAGGAGTACCTTCCTTTCCAACATCTACTTCCTAGAAGGTACCTCACAATGCGAGGCCAGCAGCTGTCCCTCAGACATTGCATAATCAGGTTTTCATTTTCTATCACAACTCTGGGACTGGGCAAAGCTCTATCAATAGCTGCACTCAGATGGAGGGCAGAGTGGCAACACCTGCCTTGTACTGAACAGTAGATACACATCTCTTGGGGACTCTCCTCCAGAGTGTTAAAGGTAGGAGAGAGATCATGATTTCTCTATCAAATAGAACTTTTCTGGCCACAGTGCTATGGAAATAACAAACTAAGGGGGGAAGATTCCCTTGTATTCAAGGAGAATACAGTCCTATTGGGCAAAAACACTTTAAAGGTGGAGTTCTCAGGGAGGTTGACAGACTACCTGTCTGGGTTCTGAACAACCTAAGAATAAGAGAGTGATTTTGATGAGCTGTGGGGAGGAGATAGCAAAACTAGAAAGACAGAGCTCTCCAAGGTCAGGAAACAGAGGACTCTGGACAGAAAACATCCCAGTCTCCTGAAGGAGAAATGATATGCAGATAACTTGGCTTCAGATTTCATCAGTGTCAGCAAATTAAGAAGGGCAAATTAACTTTCCTTTGTGTAATATGGAAGGATGTATTATACCTGGGCTCACATTGAGGTAAAGAGTCTATAAATACTTATTTCATTTATTTCTCTGCCTAGTTCATCCTAAATAGTCTCCTTGGCTGTCCATTATTTCCTCCACCCTTTACCCCAATCAGTTATCATTGGATTTCCCTGTTTGCCTGCTCTGTCCTTTATCCTTTCAGCCAGAGCAGACAACCTCATCATGATACTTAACTACCACCCTCTTTACTCTGCAGTTCTTGATTCTCCTATCAACAAGGAAAAGGTCACATGAAGATAACTCATGATCTTCACCCACCTTTACTCAAGAAGGAAGAAAATTAGATGGTCTGGGGTAGTGGAAAGACCAAGGGTGATGGGTGGGGGGACTTACCTTCCTGTGAACACTCTGGGTACCCTAAGTAGGTTTCTTTGATGGGGGAATGAGTACTAAGCTGACCCAAGGTGGCCTTTCCCCGAAAGTCTTATAGAGGGTGTGAAGAAGGGGCCAAGAGAATCTTCCTGAGTGCTCTCTCTACCCAGAAGCTAATTAGCACCTAGAGGCCCTAAAATGAACTCTCCCAGGGATTGAGTGAGAAATCAGAGGCTCAGTCCTTATGGATTTCTCTCATCTGACTCACATGTGCACTTTGTTATAGAAACATTAGATTTATGGCATCATTCCAGCTCCATAATGTTTCAAAAAAAGGAGGAAAGATATAGTCACCATATTGTAGATGGGAAAAACAAGATTCAGTGTTTACATGGTTTGCCAAAGACAACGCAGAAAGCTTCTGGGAAAGGAAGGGTAACCCCTATTGGAATAATTCTCCCACTGATAACTATAAATTCTAGATAAATACAAAACAAAAACAAAACTAACTCTCTTTAAAAGAATGTCACAAAATCCAGAATCTCTACTACGTGTAACTTACAATGTCGAAGATACAATACCAGGTTACTTACCATACAAAGAAACAAGAAAGTGCAACTCATTCTCAAGTGAAAAGGTAATAATGAAAATCTAATAAAAGATGGGCAAAATAAGTACACTTGTGGTCAGGCTCATAAGGGCAGCATATCAAATGATCAGGATCATAGACCCTCGACGATGCACTCTTACAGCGTGAACAACTTTACCTCCTATTTGGATATACCCTTGAGACAATATACCTGGTCATGATTTTGAAGCAGGATCAAAATATGTGATAGGTAGGTATTAATAGCATAAAAGCTTCAGAGATTTATTAATAGAAATGATGGTTTCACCAATAAGTATACAGTGTGTTATATTAAGAGATGGTATGTGAATAGGTTTCCACTTGGAGAACATCAGGAGACACTGGGAAACATGCTGCCCAGCTTATGAAGTTTCCTATACACCAATCGTGGGAAGATGATGACTAGGCATATTTCTTGCTCACATAGGCCTGTTGTGTGACAGATTCTTAAGATGACACACTACATTTAGGCTTGGTTCACATTCCTTTCTTCCCAGATGCCTTTTTCAGTACAGGTTGCTAAGCACTGGGCTCTTCCACTGCTCTTCAGCAGATTGAGATCCCTGATCTGTGGAGAGCCAGTAGTTTCCATATCCTAGTGTGAGGGCTGTAGAATATGATGAGGCAAGAGGTCGACGCTGTGCAATTCAAGGTCAGGCCCTTTGAGAAAGGCCCAGAATGTGGAATGGTATAAGGGAAAATTGAGATTCTAACACTAGAGACCAATGTGAGGCACCAATTTCAGGAATCAGAGGCAGGAAAGAGGCCAATTTTGGAGTCAGAATTTAAACAAACAAACAAAAAACCCACACACAAAGAATTTCAGAATATTTGTGGATGATTCATGTTTATTCATTTACAGATTTATGGAATGGTCAAGGATGCTAAGGACAAGGAAAGACATGACCTTCAGTTTGAATTATGAGGCCACCTAATGATGGTGTGCCAATGAACAGAGATAAGAAAAAGAGTAGGGCTAGAGAGAAGATGAATTTAATCATGATATGTTTGGTTTCATGTGGAATGTCCATTAGCATGATGAATGTAGGCATCTAAAGTTTGGAAAGGAAGAGACATCAGGGCAGGTAAAACCATTAAGTGAACGAGTTAATTCCAGATGCATTATCAAAGTAACAAAATTTCCCAAGTTATTAAAATAAATATGGCTGGAATAGGCACCTTGAGTTTATAGGAAATATTTTTAGAGTTTTGTCATGAAATATATTGTTTGGTACTAGATTTCAGATAGCTGCTTCTTGTTTTATTAAGGAAGAACATGATAATATTTTTCTAGGATTTATTATAATTGAAATGACTCT